CGATGACATCATTTTCTCTTTGCGTAATGGCGTTTATGTGGGATTTTTACGGTTTTGTTTTAATTGAATGAGGCACATGAGTAACACAGAACCGTGAATATTATCGTTTGTTTTAATTAAAAGGGGAAAAAAAATTAGCTGCAGCGTTCCGCAGATGGCTTCCTGTTTCATGGAATAATAAAATTATAAAATCTTTAAAAGATGCTGTTAACATCAGAAGCAATTTTAAACGCTTAGATTATATAAGTAGCTGAGTTCATGAATTTAGTGCAAAAGCCAAAACACGACAATCTCGATCCAACTGTAAAGGCACTGTGTGCTAGTAAGTATATTATTATTATTGCAATTTTGTTGCATTCTGTTCCTATCACATTGCAGAAAATATTTCCTTTGCAAATATTGTGTTATTTACATGTCATTTCTAATATCCTATTGCCTTAAATGAAAGAAAAAAGTGCATTCAGTGTTGTTGCTGAATTTAAAACGCTTATATAAGAAAAGAAACTTCCATCTCTGACAAACACCATTTTTATGCAAAGGTTTAAAAGATGTTACACATTAGAAAATGGGCAATATTCATAAAGTAATATAAGTAAGTATAAAATATGTATCTCTATTTCTCTGTTCCAAGACTAATTATAAATATTGTGAATTTACTGTGTACTACGTCAGCTTCCAACGAGGTTTCCTTTCCGAAAACTGACTTGACTGACTGACTGTTTGTTTATTGCCAGAATGCAGCACATGGCCGCTTGTCCGGCTCCATAAAATTGCCGTGTAGGCACGTCGCAGTAGTACTATCTTCAATTAAGAGAGATAGGTGGTAAAAGGGGGCCAACATCGCAGAGCCAAGCAAGGAGACGATCATGGACAGACGGGAAGTGTGTAAGTCGTCAGTGTGAAATAAACAAAATACATAAACAAAGTACAAAAATTTTATTATTAAAAGATACAATCAGAATGTAAAAATACTATGTACAAGGTGCTTTACAATTATATACAATTCATAATTATGTCGAAAAATTAGAGTCGTGGGTGAGGTGAGCCGCGAGAGGTCTTAATTCTTCATCATCAGAAAGAATGATATAATTGAATGTGTCGAATATTGCAAGATGGTCACAGTTCAGTGCTTTATTGAAACATTGTGAGTTCAGCTTGTGCAGGTGTTCTTTAATTGAATGCAGTTGAAAGTCATGATGCAATGTGACGTTACTAACGTACATGTGTGCATTAGTCATTTGTCTAAGCACTTTATTATGATTTGCAACTGTTTGCTTTCATTTTCTTTCGCAGTGGCGCATGCGGGCGACGCATAAGTTAAAATTGGCCTGATCATAGTAATGTACAGAAGTCTTTTCCTGCGTAGGTCAAGCCTTGAGTATTTGCCAAGTAAAGGCCTGAGGCAGTTAATAATGCTGTATGCTTTCCTTTTAAGGTTTTTAATATGGTTCTTCAGGTAAGTTGTCTGTTAAATACAACTCCTAAGTAAGTGGCCTCGTCAACATGTGGAACAGTTTCCCCATACAGCTTGATATTTTCATTCATCTGTGCAAGTCTGCGTTTCTTTCTAATCATTAATAAATTCGATTTTTGTGCGTTAATAGAGATACGCCATCGTTGGCACCATTCTTCAATGTCAGGCATGCGTTGCTGTAGTTTGATAATGGCATGTTTGGCGCTGGCGGACTTAACGGCTAAAGCCGTGTCATCCGCGTAGCAACCAAGAAAATAGTTAGGATCATTAACTACGTTAGGGAAGTCTGCGATGTAAAGGAGATATAAAATGGGTCCCAAAATGGATCGTTGGGGGACCCCTGCGTTTATTGTTTTGACACATGAGGAATCATTTCCTATGGAAACTGAAAAAGTCCTGTTAGAGATGAAGGAGACGATGAGCAAAATGATCTCTCTGTCAAGATTGTGATGTATTAGTTTGTAGATAAGTCCCTCATGCCAGACGCGGTCGAAAGCTTTCGCCACGTCCAGCATGAGGAGAGCCACATTTTGATTTTTGTGCAGTGCGTCACCACAAAACTCAACCAATCTGATCAGTTGCTTGGTGGTGGAAAGTTGGCTGTGAAAGCCGAACTGCTCAGGTGGAAGTACAGATAAGTAGGGCCTTAGTCTGGTTGGATATTGTATCTACAGAGAATGGATATACAGTGGTGGCCAAAATTAAGGACACTCTTGGAAATTTTTATGTTTTTGAACTTTGTATGCTTACAGAAAACGTTACGTTTCACAAAATGCAAACTTGTATATATCATTTAAAAGAGAATTTATTATTGAATTCAATACAAAACACAAAATTCAATTATTTGCAATTAAAAAAAAAAAAGTTAAACGATAATAGTTATCGATATACATTAGATAGTGATTATTGCAGTGAGTTATCAGTACTTAGTAGAGTACCCTTTATTTTTGATTACAGCAGTTTCACATCGACGTTTCATTGAACTGACAAGAGTTTAAAGCTCTTCTTTCGTTATTACATGATGCCAGGAAACAATTATAGCCTCAATTAGTTCCCTTTTATTTGATGGGCGCCTCATTCGGACAAGAGTTTTCAAACGGTGCCACAAATTTTCGATAGGATTGAGGTCAGGACTGTTTCCTGGCCATGACAACAATTTAATGCTCTTTGTACGAAACCACTCTTTCGATATTTTGGCCGTGTGGCAAGGAGCAGAATCCTGCTGAAAAATAAACGAAATATTGTTGGGAAAGAGATCTCTGATGGAAGGTAGAAGTTTTGGTTCTAGAATAGTGTCAATGTATTTTCTGGCATTCAGTATCCCATCGATGACATGAAGGCGACCAATACCATCTGCTGACATGCATGACCAAATCATAACACTAACTGGGTTCTTCACAGTTGCTTGAATGCAGTCAGGATGTAGCTCTTCTCCTATTCTACGTCTTACATATTTTCGCCCATCACTACCGAATAACGATATCTTAGTTTCATCACTCCATATAACTTGTGACCACTGATCATCTGTCCAATTAATGTGTTCCTTTGCCCACTGTAGTCTTTTTTTTTTTTTTTTTTTTTTTTTCGTTGCTGAAAATTAAGATAAGGCTTTTTTCGTGGAATTCTACCTCTCAGTCCAACATCTGTTAATCTTCTCCTGATTGTTCTTGAACTGACAGAAACACCAGCATCATTCAGATCACTTCTGATGGCCGCTGATGACATTTTTCTATCTTGGAGACATAGTCGTTTTATTCTTCTGTCATCAATAGATGTGGTGCACCTTTTTCGGCCTTTTCCTTCTTTGTTTTTTATTGAAATTTGTCTCCTGATATCGTAAACAAAACTTTCGGACTCCAGATGTAGTCACTGAACCACCCACCTGTCTTGCAATTTCAGCATAGGAAAGACCACTTTCTCGTAACACAATAATATTACATCTCTTTCTAGGTGTCCAATCTACTCTTTTATTTGATGTCATTGCTTCTTGACTAAATATTAAAAATTTTTACAAAAAATTCCTACTTGTAATTGCAGTGTATAAGAAACAGGTCCTCCTTCTACAGAACAAAGCAAAATAATGAATTGTTTCAAGTGTAAACATGATGTCAGCTTCTACTGGCAGTTACTAACATTTGATTGGTTCTCAGAACAAGAACAGTGATTGGCCAGGAAAGCTAGACATTACAAACCACTTCATAACTGTGTTTTTTTATTTATATTAAAGTACATATAACTTTTTTTGTATTGCAAATAATTGAATTTTGTGTTTTGTATTGAATTCAGTAATAAATTCTCTTTAAAATGATATATACAAGTTTGCATTTTGCGAAACGTAACATTTTCTATAAGCATACAAAGTTCAAAAATATAAAAATTTCCAAAAGTGTCCACAATTTTGGCCACCACTGTATATAACGAACATGAAAGAATGAATTAATAATCACAGCGCTTTTAATGTGAAGAGTTTTAAATTAAGAATACTTAATACTAATATTAAAAATCTCTGCACTTAATATTAATACATATTTACGGAGTTAGCACAAGAAAAATAATACTTTTTCTCTCTAGGAAAAAATATCTATGTTAAATTCACCACACTATAGTATTGTAAGGAGTGTAATCTCATAGCAACAAAAAATACAACGCAGGTAATAATCTTTTCGGCGTTCCTAAGCGTAGAGGAAACGATGTCATCGAAAGCCATATCCAATCCCGAGGAGGGATTTTTTCTTATGTGCGTGGCGCGGTACAGAATGCTTATATGCCACCAGGACTCGAACATGGACCTCTGGAATACGCACCGAGTGTGCTACCGTTACACCACGAAGGCATGCAAAAAGGAAGAAGAAAATATCTTGACCATAAGACCAAATTGTTTGGTTAGGTGGGTCGGACTGAGACCGCTTCTGGAACCTTATATTTTTTTACGTAAATAATATTTTCAGAGTTACTGGTAGTTGGTTCATTATTACTTTCCATTTGTTATGTTCTTACTTCAACCTGTTCTTCGAAATTAAATTATTCGCATAATTTTCCTCTCTCGATTTTCATATAACAAAATTAGTAAAAAAAAGGGGGGCAATACCCGAGTAAACACTATAATTAGAACTATATTAATAAAAAAGTTACATTATTTTATTATTTTTCCAAACTCCTCATTATTCTTGTCACACATTAACGTTACATGTTATAAATAATATCTGCCATTTTCGTGTTGAGAAGATCTTAGTTCAGTTAACACAGCCTGTTGTCGTCGGCATACTAGTAGGTAAGAGTTTAAATTTGTTGACTAATGTAATTTGTCTTATTAGAACGGAAAATTGAAGGGAAATTATTATGTAAGTATTCATGAGTGACGAATGTTTATCGCTAACGAAACAATAGATTCATAATGATAACATAACATTCATAATGATAACAAGCTAAATTGTTTAGCTTATCAGATTTATCTTGTGAATTTTTTTGCATCAGCCTATTGAAGATAATATTATTTTTTAGTTCCTATTCAGTGAATCATTATGCGGCGGTTACGTTCTTTTTGCGTTGTGCATATTTTGCATTAATAAACATATAGTTTTGGGATTATTAAGAGATGCTATTATTAGGTTCTAAGGAAAAGAATGCAGTTTTTACATTTCTGCTGGCATTAATAACGGTAATTCCTGCGGTCAATGGTAACAATGGAGATGAAGCGTACAGAAGATGTAAGTAAATTACATAAATTTGAGCAATATTTTTAAGGAATGCTAACAGCGAATTTATATTTTTTTAGGATGTATGCTTCCCTTAAAAACAATTTAATTTATTACTAAATATTTATTCAGTAGGATTTCGTATCCATTTCAGGATTTATCGGAAAACAAATGCGATGATACTGACCTAAGATGGCGAAGTTACGATCAGTCATTAACATGTCATGAACATTAATTAAGTAAAAACAAAAATGCATTGTTAGCTACGTTTTTTAGGGTTCACCTAAAAGAAAGAAATATATCAAATGCTTTCTTTTATTAGGAAGTTTCAGTACCGTTTCAGACAGGAAGTCTTCGAATTTACGATGTTTGCTTTCATGTCGTCTGCATCACGCGAATGTTTTTGACGTCAATTCAGCAAGATGGCCGCTGATCGGATAAAATAATGTTCTTTTTATGCTTGGATGCGCAAAAATAAATATTGTAACTGATGTACTGTGTCGTTTTATGACATGGTATGGATGAAAATCTTCCCTACTTTTGAACTGGACATTCGACAGACCAGAACATGGCTCTGAAGTTGGTCGCCTAGAAGTCCAGATTTAACACTGTGTGATTACTACTTATATGAACACATCAAGGACCGAATAATTGTTTCTTCCCTTCTTTCAAATCTTAAGGATCCCAAACAACGTATACTAGACAGATTACTAAGGGTAATTTTAAAAACGAAAAAAAGAATACCTGGTCTCACTTCCTTTTACCGCAAACGTTTCAGTCAACAGCTGTTGGAATCTTCTTGAATTTATATTCAAGATGATTCCAATAGCTCAAAAAGATTCCGGTAACTGAATTTGTATCCAAAAAGATTCCGAAGCCGAACTTTGAACTATTAGTATATTCATAATGTGCTTATTTTGTTGAAGTCGTTTCAAATTTTAATCATTCCTCCATTTAGAATAACGATAAAATGATTTCAAAATACATTGCTAAACTTAGGACGAAATTTCTTTATTGGCAGATACAAGTTGCGCAAGTGAATTAATTAAGAATTTTAAGCAGTTGTATTTCGAAAATACAGTTATAGCTTTGCAGAGTGATTTAGAATTCTTTAGAATTCATGAAAGAACATGAAGAGTCAGGGATTGATTCAAGCTCCGCGGCTCTTGCTAACCGGGTATATTTCTAACTAAACCACAAAGGAACACAGTAAGGAAGGAGAACAGTTTCTTACATCTTTACTCAAAAACTTATTTTATTTGAAAATTGCTTTGATTGCATTTGTTAAATAGGTTCATAATTTCAGTTTTCAGAAAGAAAATCATTCTATTTTGTTTATTTTAACTCTCACATCCCACAAAAATATTTATGCTATTCTAATTCAAAATGATTCAAGATTATTCATGATTATTGAGTATTCTGATTTAGAGCACTTTTGGGTGAAGAAAACTAACACGTGCTACTTATGAACTAAAACAGATTTCAGTTGCAAATTAAGAATTTTTTTTTTTTTCATTTCAAAAGTTTTAAAAATATAATGAAAAAGAAATATTTTCAAATAATACTTTGGGGGGGGGAAGCAAAAGGTTTAAATTAAACTTCTTGTAATTGTCAAATAAACATCGACCAGATCATCGAAGCTCATCCTGCGGATGACATAAGATGCACCTTATGGTTATCCCACATATAACATTCAGAAGCTTCTAATGTTTTATTGTCCAAATTGAATCGATGGAATTACATGCCTAGTTAATATTTTTATTTTTTTATTATAATAGTAAAAATTTAAATAGTTTAAAGATCTGAATTTAAAAAACTTGTAATTATGTGTATTCTTCTCTCTTCTGCAAGTTTTTTCGGTGCCGGTGGTCTAACACTGAAACCACCTTTTAAAAATTCTACAGAATATAAGCCCGTGATGGTCTAATACTGAAAACACATTTTCAAAATTTTACAGAATGTAAGATTGTGGTTTTCTTGCGCAACCGCATGCATAAATACCATAGGCGCCATCTTTTGGCACGAAGCAGAAATTTCCAGATAAAATTCAATGTTTTATCAATATCGACATTTTCTTGGTTTGATACCACTTGCAGAGTTCCATAACGTTCCGTTTTTGTGTATTTTTTTGAGTAAAATTTCAAAATCGTTTACACAATGGCTGATAACGTATTTTCTCAACGTCCTTGGATTCGTACATTTTGGCATTTTGTTGATTTGACAGTTACAGATTTAGTCATCTTATTCCCTATGAAGAGTTCAATACTTGCGAAAACATGAAAAACGTTGACGAAAATGAAGACGTTTCATGCCATTTGATATTCTCCAAACCACAAGCAGTGCATATACCAATATATGGGATAGCTTTGCAATGTGGTTTATGCAGTACAAAAATTGAACCCCGTAGGGCAGAATGGCAGTGCTTAATTTTCCGAATTATAAGAACTTTTCAACCGTTTTATCAAAAATAAATGAAGACGTAGATCCCAGTCGTACGGTAATGTAGCCACCATGTATTTTCTATACTAATTTAAAATGAATTTAATAAAAATTTTATATTAATCGGTAACCATGTGACTAGCAAATAAACTTTTTACTGGTTATTTTTTGGGGGTAAGGAGCTAAGGGTTCAGGAAAAGTCTTATTATCAGCTATTTGTTGAAAATAAAATAGTCATGTGATCCCTGGTGGCCGTGCGTTTGCAATTATCTGATACTTTTTTCCCGGCAGGCCTTGCGAGAAAAGTTTATGTAAACAAATCTTTAGAATTCTGAATGATATTTTTTGCTTACTAGGTTTAGTTTATTCTTCATTCTTTTTCTCGGATTATTTTAGAATTCTGAATGATATTTTTTGCTTACTAGGTTTAGTTTATTCTTCATTCTTTTTCTCGGATTATTTTAGAATTGTGAATATTTTTTGCTTACTAGGTTTAGTTTATTCTTCATTCTTTTTCTCGGATTATTTTAGAATTCTGAATGATATTTTTTGCTTACTAGGTTCAGTTTATTATTTATTCTTTTTCTCGGATTACCTGATTAATTATACTTAGTTTATAATTCAGTCTAATATGTTTATGTATGAGATGTGTTATGAATTAAAATTAGAAAAACTTGAACAACATGGTCTTCATGCGAGAATCTCGTTTATTTCTTTAGTGTAATATAATATTATTTTTTCAACTATGGTACATTGAGCAAACTATGTTAATAAATATTGCAGATTACGTGGAGAGAGCGTGCAGTAATGGATCTTTAACGATAAGATTAGCAAGCACAGGTCCTATGTCGGCAGGAATCCTGATGGCAACATCACGCACATCATATTCTCTGCATATGACATGCACTATTAGTTTGGTGGCACCTCATCTGCATTATATTCTCGTGAGTCTGCGAGAAACCGGATTTAGAGTTGATCTCAACGGCAACTGCAAAGACTACTTAGTGGTTTGTATCTAAATGCATTTTATTTCTTTAATGCAAATGACTAAAAAACTTAAAACTTATTTCTAACAGTACAGTGGAACCTCGAGATATGAGCACCTCTATATACGAGAAATTCTAGATATGAGGAAATTATGAGAGAAAAATTCGTCTCTAAATACAAGCACTGACTCGAGTAACGAGCAACAAGCCAGGCTGTTGGTATGCGTGGCGCGTTTCTCGGTCCGGCTCGACTCGGGGAATGCCATCGTCAGATCACTCGGTGTTCTTTGATCTACGTGCTTGTACGCTTGTGAGTTAATTGTTTTTTACATTTAACGTGAAGATAATTATTTCTCGATGCCTCCCCAAAAGATTGTTGCCTCAGATAATGCGGCAAAAAAAAAGAAGAAAGCCCTGTTTGTTGAAATTAAGGAAGAAATCATAGATAAACATAAGCGTGGTGTAAGAGTGATGGAATTGGCGAAGACTTATGGCCGTTCGACATCGACGATCTGCACTGTTCTGAAGAACAAGGAAGAAATTAAGAACCTTGATGTGGCCAATGGAGTCACAGTTATTTCCAAGCAACGTCCAAAACTCTTAGAAGATGTTGAGAAGCTGTTGTTGGTGTGGGTTAACGAGAAGCAGTTAAAAGCGATTCGGTGTCGGAAGTATTATTTGCCTTAAGGCTAAGAGTTTGTACTTGGACCTTCTCCGAAAAAACACCAGGTACGTCGACTGAAGATGAGAGGGTTGTGAGATTTTTGGGAGTACGGTACGCATTAACCAGATTACCATTATATTCAATGGGAAGTTTGTTTCTAGGTACGAGAAATTCGCTATACGAGCTCAATGCTGGAATGAATTAAACTCGTATCTCGAGGTTCCACTGTAAATGGTTTCCAACGGTTCTCTACCTTATGAATATATTTACAAATTAGGTTATTAATTTGGCAAATCACTTTGGAACTGAAAAGAAACAAGACTCAAATTTACATTGATAAGATACTGAGCTTACATAGTTACAACAGTATACATAATTTGTTGTACATAGTTCGTATCGTGTTACTTAGATAAGAGACTGAGTTTAAAGAACTAAAATGATATTTGAAAAACATTCGCATTATTTTCGAATGCAGTTTCGTGTTAATACTTTCTTTGTAAATACGTAAAAATAAGCTGTCTATTAAGGAAATAAAAATTTCAATACCCTTTATGAAATTGTATTGAATTATGATAATTTCAAACGTAAAAACGTACGCTAGCAAAATCTGAATGTTAATAAAATTAAATATTAATCCAGTGGAAGAAAAATAAAAAATAAAAATAAATGCATAAAATCCGAAAGCTTTCAGATTTTATATTACGTTCAAACGGGCTGTTTCCCCCCTCCCCCATTTACAGACACATACACGTTTCGAGAGCCCCACTTTGGGCTAAATGTATTTAAAAACAGCATATCTTCAGAATTTCTGATAGACAGTCTGGCGATAAAAATGTTTTATTCCCTACAGTATTGCCAATACTAGCTTTGAACTTTTTTAAATCAGAAATTCCTTAAAGTTTTAAAAATATGAAATAGAGCACAATGAAACTAATACTAAATTCCAAATTCGGGCTTCCATGTGCCTATGTTAGGTTGTTGGACCACGTTATTCAAAATTTGAAGACTTAAGGCACCGTTGTTTTTCCACAATGCGAGAAACGCATATACATTCAAGCGAATTCTTCATTATTTAGTTTCTTTAATCATAATACAGGGAGATAATATTTCGTGGCAACAATTTGAAAAGTAATGCCGTCTTTTATAATGATTCGACGCAAAATGCCCTTTCGAGGATAATAGGCCTTCTAGGCTAACGCCCCTTTGGGCTAAAAGTGAAAAAAACAAAACTAATGACACATAAAATAGAAATAGCTTGAAATTTTGCTGGTAACTTCTAAACTTAGATTCACTTATATTCCGAACTTACAAATTTTCCATAAATATCTCTTACCCAGATTGACAAACCACTATGCGAAACGATGAAAAGACTGGATGAGGAACGTCATTACACGTCTTTGTACAAGTCTACGCCTAATGTCATGAATCTCACATACCACACATCTGATGATTTGGACAACAAAACTCTGTCGGGATATCCAGGATTCACACTCATTTTCACGGCTTTCCAAAAAGGTAAAACTACATTTCTCTCTTCTAATACCGTAGTCAGCGACAGGAGGTTTCCCTTCTTTCTTCTAAAAGTTTAAGTTTGAATTACATTTTCTAAAAGAAAATAAATTACCTTACATTTGCTGAATGCTCTTCAGAACAGCTAATGAGTAAGCAAGATAAAAAAATACTAAAAATGATGTAATTAATTTTATACCATCGATAATGCGCGATAGTGTGAATGTTAAAAGAAATTATCATTTTATTTTATCTTTTAAAATCAAAATAACTCGTTTAATTTAGTCATCCTTTTACGTGGTAAATTGTTTTGCCTTTTATTTACAAGAGCACGAAAACGAAACGTACACAAAGAGCAATCATTTGATCAATCAAAGGTAGCACTGATTTTTCATGGAGGGAAAGGAAAGAAAGAAACTGCTATCGAAGTACTTCCTTCGAAACATTATATATATTAAAATTGGAACGATGCAGAGGAGATTAGCTTGGCTCCTTCGCAAGGATGACACGCACAATCGTAAAGCGTTCCGCATTCTTTTGTTTACTTCACTTGTAAATTTCCGTCTGACAATTACTGACTTCGTTGTAGCTATATTGTTGCTATCATTCTTTAGAGAAGTTAAAAATTTTATTCCCAGCAAAATGCTACATTAACAGATGTTCGAAAAGCGCCACAACTAATTTATCTAGATATATATCCCTGGGATTGTGTGCACTGGCTTAATATTATATTTTGACAGTCTCTCTGGCACGATGGAGCTTTTCACATGATGCCACCTCCCGCCTAATACGGAGATCAGGAGGTCAGCCCGTGTAATGCCCTTTTCAATGCAACGAAACAGGTATAAAACGAGACTTACCCAGGGACAGCACATCCAATCGAGAACCCACACTTGCGAACTGTGTTCTGGTTATCATTGTGATTCCGTAGTGGCATATAGTAATCTTCAAAAAAAAAAAAAGGTAAATATTTTCTGTGATTCCCAAGGGCACGAGTAAAACATATATAAGTTTATTATTGGGGAGAAATAAAAATATTTACTTTTTTTATAAAATACACTGAAGTGCCAAAAGAACGGTTCGTCAACTTAATATTTAATAGATGCTTCATGGAGGTATAGAATTGAAGAATAGTAGCTTCCGCAAGTATGCAGGAATATTTTATACACAGCGAACACTACACTGCCGTCAGAGAGGTGCATAATTTTGTTATATTCTAAGGTGTAGGATTTCTGAAATCTGAAGGCAGTGTATGACGTCTCAGATGTATACTTCATAATGTAGAGATCTGTTGAATTTGGATCATGGCAAAACTCCATATACATACGAGTGATTGAATCATTTATTTATATATGCATTATATTTCTAGACCTTTTCGCTGTGCATTGTCAAAAGATAGATAGACCAAAATCATCACAATGAATGCAGAATTTGAAAGGATATGAACTCATCAAAAAAGACGAGAATGTCACATTCACCTTCAGACACGTTTGATATGCGCATAATGAATGCTATTACGAAAAACAAAACGCCGTACCATACAGTCTAATCCTATGTGGGATACATTGGATTTTTATTCGTATTTAGGCATAAGCTTCTACTTGGCAGAAACAGTTGGAAATGCAACTGCTCAGATCAGCCTCTGGTTTCAACTTATTATATGTCCAATTTTCTAAAGTTTAAAGCTGAAATGAGCTGTATAGTTGAGTTCCATGCATCCTTTAAGGATATTGCGGTTGATTATTAGCCCGTGACCTGCCTCCTACAAAAGGGAACGTTCTTCAATCCTCATGCTGATGTTTGCTGAGGCCTGAATTCCTGTGTTACTTGAGGCAATATTTCCCTTTTATTGCACAAAATGATTCTGGCCATTTGATAATGGTCAAGCTCATTCAGAATCTTTACGACAGAATTCTTGTTATTACTGTACATTCTTGCAATGGTCATATGTGAAATGTTATAAGCAATCTCAGGCATTCCAATGATCGCATCATACTGAAAACTCCGTAAGTCGTAAAAACTGGTATTCTCGTGATGTATTAAGCTACGCGCTGCGGCCAGAAAATTCCTTTGCACCTGAACTAAATGTGTGTAACAGTGCAAGAAAGTAAGTATTTAAGATTTGAACCTCCCATATTGATCATAGTTATGGCAACATTGCTCCTCAAGTAAACTTTAACATAATTCCCGTGTAACTACTTGGAGAAGGGGAGTAAAGTCTGTGCGTTGCCCACTTCATTGTCTCCAGAACAACGGCAGATATCGACTTCACTTCAGAGCAGTGTTGACAAGTGTGTGAGTCCATAAACGGAAGCACAGCAACATAAACAAAACCCAGTTTATGGATAGATTTTTGTAAACGGTTCGATAAGCAGCAATCAAATCACCAGACTTTGATCACATGGCAGAATAAAGCTTTTTCGTCTGGGAAGTTTGCCTTCGGGTTTGGATGGCCCTCATCCATTCGTCAAGAAGAAGCGGTACGTGGACAATGATGTCCTGCCAGCAAGTGCGCTTGAAGCCTTCTAGCAAGTGACATCGCAGCCACTAAAGCGGACAAGTTAAGAGGGCATTCAGGCATATCAAACTGTGCAGGAATAATGGTGCTGCATATACGGAAGTTTTGGACAAATAACTGTAAGTGTTATTAAAAATGAAATAATTTCACGTGTAAAGGAACTTTCTGGTCACCTTGTAGACAGATATCTATCAGTTTTAAAACCGCCTTTGTGGGTGCTACCAGTGATATGCTTGTATATCGTTACTCTGTATTCTCGCAGACTCATCTTTTAAGAGATTTTTGGTACTCCAGAGTAATGAGTTATTAGAAAATAAACCGTATATGACGTTTTGTGGCATATAAAAGTCTGAAAATATTTGTTTACATATGCTTATATTTAATATACAATTTTGTTTAAATAGCTAGCGATCTTGGAGGATCATGTAGCGGCAAAGGAAATAAAAGTGACTCCTCCTTCCAATGTTCTAACAATTATTGCATATGGTCTGGTTTAACGTGTGACGGCCACAACAACTGTGGAGACTTAAGTGATGAAGAAACTTATGGAAATTCCAATTGCGGTAAGGAAATTTAATTTTGAAATGAACGTTGAAAATTTTAAATACAACGTTACGCGAATGACAGGAAGTCGTTTCAAAATAAATGGAATGGGTATTATTTATTCCTTAATTTATCGCCTAATGTTTAAAAAAAAAGTTCATAATTTATAAAAAAACACCATACACTACCCCACACGATAAATACACATTTGGAAACAACTTAGATAAAAGCATAATGATTTATTGCATTAGCAAGAATAAAGATTAGGAAAGTAAATATGCTACTATAGCCATTAAATACAATACGCGATGCATGCAATGAATCCGGAATTTTTGTACTGAGTAGATTATGTGAAGATATTTAAGAGATTAGCACAGAAGCACACATGCAAATCATGTACACCAATAATGTTGCCTGAAAGCAAAATAAGAGTAAACGACCGAAAGATGCTATTAAATACTGGAATTACGTTACGACTAGTCGAAAAATACAGCAGCAACTGTTAAACTTTGAATGCAACAGAATTAAGACAGTCGAGAATGTCGATTGTCCTTTTAAAGAACTGAAACGGGTTAGATGGCAAGTGGGCAGAACGGAGTGAATATACCCGTAGAATCGATGGGTTTAATAGAGGCGAATTTTCTGATGGAAATGATCACAATAGCCATAACGTATCAGTGAACAAATCTTGTTTTTTCGCATGCGTTTTATAGATCGTACAGTTACATTATAAACACTAATTTTAAAATTAGAATTCACAGTAACAAGTTTCATCGAGTGCGGTTCAACCTTGTCGGGAATTTCTTGCAAAATGTTCACTGTTTCAGCAATATATGATTGCTTAGTACAAGTATTTATTACTGCTGCACTTAAAACATTACAAATGGATGGATGAATGACATTGCATTACATATTCATGTGGATATCGCTTCCATCTGTAGTATCATCCGCGTATAGTGGTACCAAAGGCGATAGACTGAAGTCTCGCATTATGCAACGCTATATTGATTTAGCACTTTGACATTATGGTATAGGATTGGATTTCCATAACCTAAATCGTACCATATTACTATGGTATGGGAATAGATGGATTACACACTCTTTGCGTCTAGTACGTATTTTCAATACACTAAACAACCACCTATATATATTACAGAAACCTGGTGTTGTATCTTTTCAAAGCCTGCTTGGCGCCTGTTACCAACAGACTACTCCAACCTGTACATGTAATATAATGTCCAATGATTTTTTAAATTTTCGCAATATTTTACTTCTTTCGCTAAAACTGTCGCCCACTGAACACATTTAGTCCATAACGGACAACTGACCCGCTATAAACAATAAGTAAAACAAAACCAATTTAGCTTTCTGCATCAAGAATATGTGCAATTTGTAAAACAGCACCGAATGTGTTATGCAATATATTTTTTGGTTCGAACGTGCATTCATTTGGGGAATCGGTTAAACGAGGCGTTCGTTATGTCAGGCAACATGTTATACATGCATTACAAAAAATATATTCTTATTCACTCCAAGCAATTAGAATTATATCTGTCATAGTTATCTATCCAAATAATCAACTGTTTTCCAGGATCTGTCACATACATATCTGAGTAATTAACTGTTTACCAGGACCTGTCATACATATATCTGAATAATTAAATTTTTTCAGGTGGCAAGAGCGGGGGCTACACTGTCCTCATCATTCTTGGACTTCTGATATTATTCTTGTTGATTATTATGTGTGTTACAACACTTCTGTGTTCTAAAAACGAAACTGTACGACGCTTTTCTACAAGACTGAGGAGCAGATCAATTTCGTTCCTCCCTAGACTGCCAAGTAGATGAACAAATCTGCATATATCAGCTTATAGGTCCATTCTCATGTTATCAGCAGTGGAAATCAAAATACAATTCAGATTATTCTGTATCCGTTAGGCTATTATTTTAAAAATACAAAATTATAATTCTACATATCGGTGAAATTTTTGGTACTTTGATTACACGCACCTCCAGTAGAATCTGCCGTATTTTGAAGTCTACATGCGAAAACAACCAACTCACACACATATTTGAGTATACGCTTGGATTTAGAAGCTTTATATTTAACCATCATTTGCATCCACTGAGTATAAAAATGTAAATACCAGCCAAATGCACTTCGGCTTTTCTCAGAAAATGCTTCTTCGTATTATTTATGAACAGAGCAATACCTCTGTGCCATAAAGGTATCAGTATCAGTAGTGGGCGTAGCCCGACCCGCCTAACCAAACAAGTTGGTCTTATGGTCATGCCCATTTCAACAAAGGAAAAAATGAAACATAAAATATCTATAGCCATAAAGGTAGACAAACATATGTTTCTCGTCAATTCACATATTCGTCACATCTGGCACGCTAACTGTACTGTGTTAGCGATTTCTCGTAGGGATGCGGATAATGAGAAAGTACCAAAATTTCAGCTACATATGAAACAAAAAATGGTAAGTAATAATTGAAAACTTCACTGCATAAGCCATTGTCGACATCTGGACTTTGCACTTTACAAACTGGACGAGTTAGCACTTTTGACAGTTAGCACGACGTCAAAAGTGGGGCGAATTAATGAGAAAGTAAACTGTCATTCCATGACATTCATATTCCTATACAATACATAATTTACACAAAATTTCGTTAAGATTTTGAAATTTTTGATGCAGCTTTGGCTGACGAATTTAGTTTATGAACACCAAAGATTGGAAACCATTTCTTGAAAGATTAGCAACAAAATAAAATTTAATAAATATTAAATGAATATATGCCATGTCTCTTCGACAGATTTCAATAAATTTAATCTACTAATAAGGTACTTATTTTAAACTAACCAGTTATTATGATTTTGAAATTCACTTTAACTTCTACCTCATACTCTCACATTCTTCAGCAGAATGTAAATTAGTTTTGTGGTGAATTTAAGTTGAGGTTTTTGGATAGAGCGCTGCGTGGTCAGATTTCTGTCAGCTTCAGCTGAATGCAATTATTTCCGCTTTGCATGCTCTACCAGCCGATACTTAGGCTTAACTTCTACCTCATACTCTCACATTCTTCAGCAGAATGCAAATTAGTTTTGTGGTGAATTTAAATTGAGGTTTTTGGATAGAGCGCTGCGTGGTCAGATTTCTGTCAGCTTCAGCTGAATGCAATTATTTCCGCTTTGCATGCTCTACCAGCCGATACTTAGGCTTAACTTCTACCTCATACTCTCACATTCTTCAGCAGAATGCAAATTAGTTTTGTGGTGAATTTAAGTTGAGGTTTTTGAATAGAGCGCTGCGTGGTCAGATTTCTGTCAGCTTCAGCTGAATGCAATTATTTCCGCTTTGCATGCTCTACCAGCCGATACTTAGGCATCATTAGTTTATTTGAGCCAATTTGTAGTTTAGTATTAGTGTTTCCGTCACATAGCTACAAATGGCCCATGGAAGATTAGATATTTGAATGTACATCTGGAATAATTATATAGCATGCGACAGCTATTTGCCCAAGGGAAGGGATGTCTTCGTGGGGAATTTTTTACTAAGGTTCTAAAAATGCATCATTATATAAAAGCACTGAAATATAAGCACATTAAAAAAAGAATTCCATACTATAGAAGAGCATAATGTTCATTTAAAACTAAATTAAATCATAAATTACACCGAGAGAGAGAGAGAGATCAGAAGACATTTCACTTATGAAAGGTTAGTTTCACAGGACTTTCTGAAGCTTAATTTAAGGACATTAATCATAAAAATATTGGCAATTTCATTTAATCTTTCACGTGTATCCAGATATATTAAATATGATTTCAAATACCGTTTGATTTAAACTATTTTGCCGACCAGTAGCCATCGATTATAATTGCCGAATACCGGTAATTCAGCCTAACTAAGGGGCTGAATGCACTACGTATAACGTGAAAACAATCCAGTTTCCATAAGAAAGTCCACAGTGAAAACATCCCTCCTCTTAGGCAGAGTGACCTCGAATACTTTACCCTCATCAAATAAACAGCAAATTATTCCAGCGTGCAACCCAATATATGAGTTTTACAGAACATATCTACAGAAACACTTTTTTATTTTCAACAAATATCCTAGACGTCGGTATAAAATCCGATATTCAGAAGTGCATTATTATGAAACTGTCATTCCTTATATAAATTTCTACCAATTATTTCTGACATGTAACTACTACTTATTAATAAAAGATGTATTTTTAAGATAATGGTTTTAATTTTTATGTATTAATTCAACAGATACTTGTTGATCTTACTTTTCTAATAAAGACACCATGTTCATTTTATCAGTCTGACTCTGATATGAAGCTTTTCTCACACAAACTAAATTTAATTTGCTTTGCCATAATCAAACAACATAATCTAACTCGACATAAATTCGGCAATAACTTCTTATACATAATTTCCTTTATAGCTGGGCTGATCAATTCCTCAGAATTATTTTTCAAAAATTGTTTCTAATAAGATCAAATAATTATATTTTGATATGTAAATTTACAATACTATATTTTCCTAATAGAAAGCCAAATTTCAGTAGTCATAGCTAAATATTAACACCGGTTTTGATAACACCGTATATTTGAAAAGTGAAAAAATATATAACGTACTTCTACAAGAATACTGAATATTTTTCGTTAGATACTCGTATATTACGAATTAAAATTCGTTTCTATTTTTATTAAAAAGTAAAAGTATAATATTCTTAAGAACTGCACCTATTGCTTTTAAACAGCTCAATATTAATCAATAACATGCAGATTAAATTTGAATGACAATATCTCGCATTTTACCGAATGGCAACAGACTTGAATGGAAAGTGAAGCAACATATTTATAGTGGATGACATTTTAAGTGAATCACTGCAAAACTGTGTTCAGACTAACTGCCCTTATGGGCTGTACACTTCCAAACATGTCTCATTCATATTTTATATAAAATGTCTTTTCTGATTCATATTTACACTGCATTGTTTTCTAGAATAAACTGATGCAAGCACGTGTTTTTAGTGATGAAAATCATGTACACAAGATTAATGACAGTTATATATCCTATCAGAATCATACAGATTGCTTCATCAAATATGGAGGCAGAAATTGATTCCTTGTTCTTTTTTTTTTGGGGGGGGGAAGGAAAAATAAATTATTAAGAAATCTAAATTTTGATTATACAGTCAAAAGTCGTTAATTCGGACTCGCCGGGACTTCGGCGATTCCGGATTATCGATTTTTCTGGATTATAGATCATCAGTTTAAATCTGGTAAAATGGCATGCAGAAATTATAAAATTAAAAATATGAAACCGTAATTTACGAAATAAAGAACAATTATGATCTAAAGCGTATCAAATTTACAAAAAGAAAGCTTAATATTTATTTGTTTACTTTATTAAACATTTTTCTTTCAATGTAAGTTGTTTAAGTTGCTTCGTTTTTTATGTGATAATACATTCTCTTAATTCTATAAGACATAATTTCTTGTTCAGTTACAAAGTTCCGCTGTTCAAGTCCTATAATTGCTGTGTCGAGAATACCGACTAATTTGTCAATCGAAATTTTTTGTTTTCAATAACCTCTGTCACTTTCTTCGCTATCGGAAGCGAATTATAATGACGAGGTATTTGATTTAAATCATATCAAAGACGGAGTACATCGAGATGAAATACTACATTGAGTAAGCAATTATAAGCCAAATAAAATAAAAACATCTGCCCTTAAGATAAGGATAGTGCTGACAGATCAACTTCCGATTCATTGCACGCCGCCCGCCGCGGCGTTAAAGATAAACAAAGTTTAGATAAACAAAGGATATGGCTTTATCCATTTTTTGCAGCAATTCCACTTTTTGTTTAATGGACTCCGAAAGATACTTTCGCTTTGTAGATATCCTTTACATATTAGTAAATATATATCGGAAATTCTATTTGACATAATCGAAAGTTCAAGCTTACTTTTATAAAATTGCTCTAACAGTCTGCAAAAAATAATAATTCGGATCCAATTCGAAGATTAAGGAACAACGCAATCTGCAACATTAACTGAAATAGATAATTTTAGCTTAGCTTATCCCGTCCGTTATACATTAAACGTATTTTGCGCACGCGCACACGCAAATTCGCAGCGGTAAAGGTCTTACGCGCATGCGTCGCTTTGAGGTCCGGATTATAGATCATTCCGGATTATGGGTGTCCGAATTAACGACTTTTGACTGTATTTTAATATTAGTGTATAAATCTCTAGCTACTAATTTTATGGCCCACTTCTTATATTTTTCATGCCACTGTCTCCATTGTGAAAAATCATATATGTAAGTATACATAAATTTATGATATATAATTCTAGAATATATTTGTAATGTTTTTAGTTTTATTACATTTTCAAGAAGTATGCAGCAATCTTTGATTGCAAATTTTTAAGTAGCTCTTGAAATGAAAAGGCTGACCAACAACATTGACTTAAAAATCTTTCAATCATATTACTTTTAACAAGCCTATTATAAGTCATAGGAATTTATAAAAAGATGCACAGATAATATATAAAAATAAAGATGAATTAAAAAAAACTATAATGACATTCTTATTTAAAAACATCATAAATATTTTCAGTTATTTTACTTAAACTGAAAATATTTTTTAAAAAATTAATTAAAAACTAGCTACACCTGGGACATGCACTTCTATTTTTATTTAGCTAATTTCACAAAACCTAATTGTTTATCACAAGTAGCATCGTCTTTAAACTTTATGAGTATCAAAAGAAAATCTGTCTATATAATTAAATATGAATATTAAAATTATTGTTAATATGTAAATATAATCGTACAATGAGCACAATTTGATGAAAATGAAAAGAACAGAATTCAATTAAATGCAATAATATATGTAACAACAACATTTACAAGCAGATTAAAATGTGCACGTTCACACAACATAATTGTCATTTTATTTATCACACATCTAATGATTTTACTTAAATATATCGAATGATTTCTTTCACTGACAAATTTGTATCAACATCTTAAATATACATCACAAACATTCTGCATTTCCCATATTATATACATTAATTAAAACATCTACATTAAAAACTATTACTTTTCACACAATAATTGCTGGTCCCTACAGACATACTCTATTTAAAGATAATTTTCTGTTATTAAATCTAGGCACTAGATGCTGTCATCTGACTACCTGTAATATCCATTTGACTACTTGTCAGTTCAACTGAAAAATTACTAACTAAAAGACAAACTGCTTCCTTAAACATTAATCATAAGACTTTTTAATCTAAGCTTAATGACCTAACTTGTCAGTTCAATTAAAAAATTACTAACTAAAAGGCAAAGAGCTTCCTTAAAAATTAATCATAAGACTTTTTTTTCATATTAAAATATAAACAAACTATAAGCTGAATGACCTCCAATTTTATGATCAAACCACATTAGAAATGGTATGCAAATTATTTTTTATAATAAATGCATATTACAAATTATTAAGAGGAAATCACAATGAATAAAATTACATCAGTTAAGCAATGAAAAATTTATAAATTGAATTTAGGAAGTTACATATTTTATGCATGAATAAAAATAAAAATTTTGGCATTTCAGATCTTTAAATTAGTTTAAAAAAATAAAATACTAAGTAAAAATCGAAACTGAGAGATTTTTAAAATTTATTTTACAAAAAATATAGCTTAAAAGCTATTTTAAAGTAGTACCAATGATCAATTATTAAATTTATCTAAATTTCAAAAGAAAATACTACTGACATCCAGTAATTCTTTAAAAAGATATTTGAATCAATTAACATGTATTAAGTCTTTTTAATGACATTTAAAAATGCTCGAGTGCTGCCATACACAGCACAGTTTTATTATAGGCACTTTAAACATTAGATGAAAATATACTAAAAGACAGTTTTTTTTTTTAAATTTTTTTTTAGATGTGTAATTTCTATGGCTTTATGGCTCTATCGCAGTAGATTTTAGGCAGCAAATTAACACCATCTAAAATGTAAAACATTCCCTCAATGATTATATTCTCTCAGATATTAACCTCAGAATGTTCATGCTTAATATTAGTTTTTAAAGACTTTTCACATATTGATCCTTTTTAAGAAGAATTAAACTCCTCAAAGATGTTTAAAAGCAAGATGGCAGGAAATGAAAACTAAATTTTTAAAAGAAATTTTTTTAAACCATAAAACAAATAAAAATGATCAGAAATAAGAAAATAAATTAACATCAATTACATTTACCTACAATATTTACACAAATTATCTCATATAAAAAATTATAAATAATCTGTCAGTTAACTGATGAAAAAATACTTCAAATAAAAATTTACACATTCCAAAGCATACAACACAACTGGAAATTAAAAGAAAGATGTTAAATTTAATTAAAAAATTTCAATGACAGTGCAACTTTTTAATGTATTATTTACATAACTGAAAAATACATTATGCAATAATTGTCCACAAAATACTTTACAAAATAAATACTTCTCCTTTACCAAATAATCAATAGAAATAAAACTGGTTTCATCTTGCAACAATAAAGGGTGTTTACATAAAAAAAATCTTTTTACAAAGATTAATGAAATTTGGCAATCAATAATACTGCTTAAGAAATAAACATGCACTTCATGCTTGATATTTTAATTATAAATGCAATGTTTTCCCACACTGATAAACTAAAAAAAAAAAAAATTCTTCCTAAACTCATAAAATAAAAAATTAACATGGCAGAAGATGAAGTATGTTAATTCTTAAAATATGCTAAAGCTTGATTAAAGCTGAGATCCGAAATGATGGTTTAAATTTAATCAAGATAATCACTCATTTCTCACTGACAAGGCATATGGGCCACCTCAGAATGTCCAAAATTAGTAATGTTTTAAACATTCCTAACACTAATATTAGGTTTAATAGGTATCATGCCTCTTTCCAGTCACCCTTTTAAGTGGGAAAGAATAAGGAATTATTATATTCCTCCATGCATACTCTCATGGTGTTAAAAAGTAAGATATCCAACTAACAACAGCAAGATTTTGGTTTGAATCCCCGCTAATATTTGGTTGTTTCTAGCTTAAAAAAAAAGTTATGGTGTTTAAAATATGAAAATACTTTGATAATGTAATTTATGCACCATTAATAAAAATTTTCATTCGAGAACAATAAGATTAAATAAGCTTAAAATTTTTCAACTAATTTTGAATAGTTAAGAACACAATTTAACAGTAAATTATCAAATTTAGTTCTGACTTTTTAAAATGTGTAGATAAGCAGTGGAATACACAGTTTAATTCCTCTTGAAGAAATCACATAAAGATATTCAAAATCCTGTATTATGCAATTAGTTTCAGAAAAAAATCTGAAGCATGCGAATTCAAGCAGTGCAGAAGAATTATAACTCACTGTCAATCAAAATACCTCTGAGGAAGTCACTGATGCATTAAGGTATAAGAACATCAACGTGTGTCTGAAAATGTGCATTTTCTTGCATATAAACAGCATTGCTAGAACTGATATACAGAAGTTTAAAACAATTTTCTAATCTCATATCTGATCCTAATCCTACATCTAAAGGCTAGTTCTTGAGCATTAGCATGCAATCAAACACATGCACACATCCTCATCTTCAATACTTTCAAATATGTCTCAGCATTTAGTGGTGTCAATACTAGCTAATTCTACTCTATTTAGACTTTCAAGTAAAACATTCAGTTATACAAAAAAAAAAAAAAAAAAAAAAAAAAAAACTAGCAAATGTATGGTTTATAGAAAATGACTTAAGTGAATTTAAAGATATTATAGCAGAGATTGCCAACCTTTTTCTTGCATCTACCTCTTTTCAAAGAATGATTTTCTTCATCGGCATCTTTACATTTTTCTCTATAATATACAACATAACGACAATACAAATAATTAGCATATAAATAACTTGAAGATAACAGAAAGGTAAAAAGGGAGAGAAGTCAATAATGTTGGTTCGGTAACAACTTTTATTTGGAGATATTTCTCTCAAATGACTTTTCCACAACTTCAAGCATTCACAAGTTTTGAAAAAGATTTGTGTTTTAATATCATCCTTCGATGCAATCAACTCTTCTTGTATCACACATCAAGATCAGATATATCACATTTTAGCAGTTGTATGACCTATGCTACTACATTCAAATATATAATGTGTTAGAAGTGAACTTTCTAACACTGGTATTAGGTTGAATAGGTTATCACATTAGAATACTTCAAGGGTTAGAAGTGACACCATTAAAATCCTTTAAATTTTGCAAGTGGCTAGTATATAACAAAATGTCTTCTGAGGAAATATAACCCTTTTCAAATAATGGACAATCACATTAAGTTATCAATATAGTGGAATTCTTTTCAATTCAGTGTTGTTATAAACAAGACAATTTTGGAATGGAAAAATAAAGATAATCATGACATAGCTTTATATTAATAAATAATTATCAATTTAATACATATTTCTGTAATCAATGGGATCTTTATTATGTCTATCAATTGGCAGTACATATTTGGCTATCGACCCTTTGATCATCAGTTGACCCCCTCTTAAAATTTCATTGACAGACCCTGTTGGGAACCCTTGCTCTACAGTATAAAACAGCATAAATTTACAGTTTATGGGATTATTTAATACAGTTAAAAAAGAAATTTGACTAATTAAATACAATCAGAAACATGTTTTACTGGGGGAGGGGGGAATAAGAATTTTATAAAATGCAATTTATTCTTTCTGCTTTCAAACAGCTAACCTCTCAAAAAGTATTTATTCATAAAATAAAATCCTTTCAAATGCACTAATATTTTTATCACTGCTATTATCCTTATATTTGTATTATTTGTACTGAATTTTTGTGTGAACTGTTATAATTAAATACGTTAGAACGGTTCATCAGCTGATTTTGGACACAGAAATGAAGTGGTTTTCAAGTGGAACTGTATTTGATTCTGATGCATCCTCCTCTTGATAACATTATATCAGATTTGACTCTTCCCCTTCTTTTGTATTTTCCCTGGTTTTTGTTATTTTTAGGTTTTAGTATTCCACATTTCTTTAGTTCTTATTTTACATATTTATAGGGTATTTTGAAAGTTATTGGTTCTGATTTTCACTTCTTTTGGGTCTTTGTGCAATTGGTTCTAAGGTTTTTTGTCTATAATACTTTAATTTTTAATTTATCAATTTTATACATAAAATAAAATATCCGAGGACTTTGTTTTTTAAAAAAAAGGCAACTTTATTATCTTCTATCCTCCAAGCCAGGGTTAGCATGTAGTAGACAAAAGAGATGGAAGACATGGTAAGATTGCCATGATGCTATAGATACATGATCACTATATATATATAGACACCTCATAGTTCTTCAACAATCAGCATAACATTAAGAGAAAAATCTCAAAACTCATCTTGCACAATATTTTACATTTATAAAATGAATAATATGAAAAACAAATTTTAATAAATTTAAGTTCTTTATAGAACATGACAGGCAATTTATGTAAAAAGAGAAATCAATATGAAGAGCGATTCCTAGATTTAGTTTTGCTATAAAATTATGAATTTTTATTTAAAATTGTAAACAGTTATGTATATTATAACAATTTCATTATTACAGTATTTCTTTCTATAAATCCTTTCTCTCATCATTTCCTTCACATGGGGTTTCTTGGTAATTTGCAGTGTAGCAAGGCTAAAAATTTGAGAAGCACTGAGCTAGAGAGCAGTTTTTAATTTATATATTTTAGAGTTTTCTGATAGAAAAGATTTACTACCAAATTTCTTATATTATATGCAGTACCTACTGAAGATATGAAATTTAGACTCGTTTTCTCCAAGAAATAATTAGTGGATTCGCTCTTTTCACATACAATGCCTTATATGAAAATAAAGAAATCTTCATAACAATTAATTTTTCTGAGTGAAAATTAACCAAAATATACTTCAACCAAACATTTATCCAGCTCTTCTTATTAAAAAATAAACAAAGTAAATAACATATGTTATACAGTTACATTACATATACCTAAAATTTAACTCTTCAGGCACATATGAAAGACTAACAAATCTTTAAAATAAAGTGCAGTTTGTGCCCCCATGATAACCTGCTTTGTATTTATAATTTACAGCAAGAGAAGTTTTCAAAATGTACACCAAGTGAAAATGGGTCATAAAATAATAAAACACTGTAACTCAAACCTGCACAGTTCAATCTTCTAACAGGAAATAGGAATATGAGAACTTGCACGAGTATATTAAACCTATTCATCTAAATAACAGAAATGAAAAATGGTCAGGTTTGAACCTTTAAATGTATGTCCTTAGTTCTCAAGCTTGAAAATATGATGATGAGCAGTCATGGCTACCTGTAATCAGATTTTAAATAATCTCACATTCTTTCAATACCTACATATGTTACAGAAGGGGGAAAAAATCTTTTCATCTGCATCATCCTTTAAAACATTATCTTACAAAGTACAGTAAAGGTACTGCATTTCTGGAGAGATATGAACTTAACATTTTAAAGATGCAATAGACAAACTTTAGAAGAGAACTCAGCATATTAGACTTAAAAAACCAATATTTAGTTTCTGCAATGCAACGATGCATTGGCATATAATTCCAAGCTATTCAATATATTTGGTAAGTTTTCCCTTTATTTTCTTTTATATGCACATTTTATGTGACTTCTGAAGTATCCTGTGGCTTAAAGTTAACAGGATAGACAAAAACTGAGGTTATTTTCGGATTCAGAGGCCAAAAGCTAGTCAAAATCAAGCGAACAATGAAATTGCTGTTCTCGAGTGACTTGTGGAATTTGCCAGCAATGGAAGAAATTGCAGTAAAATTTCTGTAAGTATATAGAATTTTTCTGAAAAATATTTAAAGGGAACAATGAGGAAATACATTTCCCAGATAGCCTGCTGCCGAGGGTTGTTCAAAGCCAAGTCTTTGCAATTCTCTATTTTTTTTAAAGCAAAAACAGATTGTTGTGTATTTTGGGAAAAGAATAGTGCAAAAAAAAAAAAAAAAAATACAGAAATATTTGAGGAAGAATTTAAGTGTTTTATTTTTTAATGCATCACGTAATCCTTATTTAATAACTCAAATTTGTATTTTAAATTGCTAATTCTTTTTATATGATGATAATGTTTACCGACTTTAGATAAATACCAACGATTTTGGAATCTTTCTATAGAAAAAAAAGATTCAACCCCCCAAATTGCACCAAGGTTTTGTGTTAATATTTCAGTACCATAAGTTTTGACAAACCAAATAATTGAACTGAATACAGCTTTAGGCTCTAAGCAATAAATTCTTAAATTAATCAAAACTGCAATACTATAACAAATTTACAAATAGCAGAATACCAAGAGACAAGGAAAACTCTTTATTCCACTTCACAATCTTATTCTTGGTAGTACATAATGCTTTTATGATTTTCTTCATATGCAATATCAATATGAGACAGTTTTCTTTGGAAAATCTTCATGGGGGCAACTTTTTCCATATGCAGACAGCCCTTGTCTGCTTCACTATAATCAAATAATTCAGCTCTTTAACAAAATCTGCAGCCATAAATTTTTAAAATCTAACTGAAAAAAATTTAGCAAGTTCTGATGATATGTTCTAAATCATTCTAGAAATTGATAATGAAGACATACTTTAAATGAAAAAAAGGATAGTTTAAAAACTGACTTAAATGTATTCAGGGGTATTTACTTTCTATTTCAAAGAAAGGATGGAAAATTAATTTATTACGATTTTAGCATAAAATCTAATTTGCTGTAATATGTATGTATTAATTATGCTAAACCTTAAATGTTAACTATTGATAAATTTAGCTTATAGTTTGTCTTAAATTATTATTACTCCTGTTAAAAATTTGCAAATTACAATTGAAATATCACTTATAATAAAATTTCCCCCATTATTAAGAACATGTAAAAGTGAATCTCAAATTACATACAGCAAATGAAGTACCAGATATTTTATTAATCTGACTGTTAATCATCATTTATTAAATAATGCAGGGCACATATTTTTTCCATGTTATGATATGACATAATTTTTAACTTTGTATGGCAAAATTATGAACAATAGTTTTGCCTCTGAAACATAAGTAACCTTACCACAAAACTACATAAATTAATAAAAACTTTAACTGGTAAGATATAAAAATTAATTACATTCAGTCAAAATGTATGAATGATTTTTTAAATTTTTTTATGCAAATTTTAATAAAAAATATAAAAATTAATTGCTGAAATCTTTTTTAAACATTTATAACTATGAAAATTAAGTTTCTAGATATATACATAGAGGTACTCACATATTCTTTAATCAATGTAAATTAAGAATGTTCATTTCTAAAAAAAGATTAAGTAGAAAACAACAACATATTAAACTGAATACCTAATGTTAACCAGATGAAATGAATTGTAGCTGCACTGTGAAAAGAATATAATTGCACACTTAAAATTATAAATTAAAAAATTACACTTAAAAATATAAATTTTCCATCCTATTTGAAAATTCTGATGAGTCATAAATTATTTGAATTAAATCTGAATTATAAAAAATTTCTTCTCAAATTATAGTTTCATTATATGCAATATTTCCTTTAGTCAATTTACTCATTTCTCTAGGAATTCTTGGGGGAAGAATTGGCATGCCAAGTAAAACTTTCTATAAGAAAACTGGTGATAATTGGCATAGATTTTATTTTATTAGAAATGCCTTTAGTAATTCACTAGTATTCCCTTCTTCAGCCATACCTAAATGAAAGACAAGTACCACAAACAGAAAAAGAGATTAGTGAATTTCAAGAACTTGTTATCAGCTAATCATAATGCCCTTTATCTTTCTCTATTAACCAGCAGTAATTCATATTAGCATCAATAATAACTACTGGTTTTAATTAACAATAAAAGTGTTATATCTATCAAACCAGAATTTTCTGCCATGAGCATACATTCTTTACATACAGGTACAAAATAGAAATATTTATATTCTAACAAACAAAAAATTATGTTGGAAATCCTGATTTCTTTCAGTCACTCAGAAGCTTCTTTGATTTTTCTATTGGCATGACAATCTAGGATGGGCCTTTCTTAGATCCCTCTTCCACTTTGTTCTCTATTTGGTGAGAGTTTTCAGTTAATAATTTTAATAATATTAACTTGGTATCATTGCATTCTAATCATCACGCCTCTCCTATTTTTGGCTCTATTTTTTCATCGGTTTATAAATGAAAATCTTACATATTAAAGATGAATTCATTAATTATAAACTAAATATACATTTATGCCCTCTCCATTCTTAAAAGAGTCTTTATTCTTCTAAGTCTCTATCTTAAAAAGACTTAATGAGATTTTTAGTTTTGAAATAATTAGATTATTCAGATTCTATTAATCATTTGAATGAAAATCAAAAATAGACTGCTATGAAGAGAATGAGTAGAGCTTTTAGTCCAAGACCCTGAAAGCACAGTATTTTTTTTTTTTTTTTTTGGTAACATGTTTTTAATTTTAGCATCTAATGATTTTAATTTTGATTAATTTTGAAGGTAATTTGATACGAAGAATTGAAGCATATTAATTCATAACTTATTAAAATCTCTGCATTATATAATTTTGATCTGTTGAAATACAGATTAAATGCTTGAACTGAAATTACCATAAAATTAATATCCACATATTTTCCATATTTTAAGTCATTCTTAGAATTCTTTTCTTCAAATATCCAATATTAAAAAAATTCCATCTATTTTTAATTGCACAAATAATTACTACTTCATTTCTATGTTAAAATAGCTAACTAAATTACACAAATTCTATAACTATTCACTACTCTAGGAATAAATGCACAGTTTAATAATCTCTAGCATGGTCCACATCACTAGTCAAGCCCTTATGTTAATTTTAGATTAATGCTTTACTATCATTTAACAGAGACATAATGATGGCTTTGAAATTCTGGTATCTGTGCAGAATTATAACCAATATCACTATTTCTAGATTTAAGGCCACTTTAGAGAATCCAATTTCTTGTCCAACAAACTGAGCATCTAGAAATTGCAGAAAATTTTCATTTATGCTTTTCACTTTGTTGATCCAAGAAGTTTCAATTATTTTGATACAGCTTGACATATACAATATAAATTATTTCAGATGTGTAATTTGAAGTCATAATGAAAAAAATTTATATTTACATGCTAAGTTCCATTTAATACTCTACTTAAGAATTTCTTCTTCCAAAACAAAAAGAGTTATTATTATATCACCCTCATAAATTCAGCAATTTCTTTGCTCATTTGACATTAAAACCTTATAATTAGGTCTTTTTTATATCATTAAAAAACTTTCAATTAAAAAAGCTTGATGAATTTCAAGAACAAACTAGTGTAAATTATTTTAGAATGATTTTCTTTGCAGAAAAGAGGACCTTTTTTTAAATATATTGTTGAAAAATCTTAGAATTAAAAATAATTATCCTTATTTATGAGAAAAAGGTATGATAAGGAAAGCCAAGCTCATTAATGACCCAAATTATTATGTGCTCAGTAAGTTAGTTTTATAAATTAATATGCAAGTTTCTTGTACTCTCTGATGACCTGCACCCCTACAAAGAAAGTCCACCCCACTGTTCTCTAATTTTCTCCAAAATAATTCCAACTAGGATTATAACACTTTGCTTGTAGTTTTTTACACTGCATTTCTAAAGTTCCTAAAGTTCAGTTTTTAGGAAGCACAATGATACAGAATGAAAATTTTCATGTTGTCTATTGTTGAGACAAAAACCAAATTTCTGAAGGAATACAACATTATCTTACTCCTTAGCCAGTGAACTTCACACTGCCATTATAATGCATTACAAGGAAAAAAAGAAGAGTGCGCATGGTGGAGGGGACAATTGATCAGAAAACGAAGTCTAAATAGCTTGCTTAAAGCATAAAAATTCCCATGTACTCATACACGTCTATATGCATGCTAGGGTTGTGTTGTGTTGGCTAGTGTCACAAAAAGAAAAGAAAAAAAAACTTTAAATCATAGCAGTTCTAATAAATGTTTAAACTGAGGTCAAGGATCATCAAAAAAATATTTTTTTAAAATAAAATTAAACATATTTAATAATTTTTTATATAATAATCTGAGAAACAATATAAGTTATGTACAAATTTAAGAAAATGTTTAATATAATTATTAAACAACATTATTTACATATTCAATTCACATTTAGGTAAGAAAGGCTTTCTTTCAACAAGAAAAAAAGATTTGAGTCACATTTCTGCCTGAAACTTTTCTTAATAAAACTACAGCCTTCTTTTAACAAGAAAAAAAGATTTGAGTCACATTTCTACCTGAAACTTTTCTTAATAAAACTATGTGCAAAAAAGGGACAATAGAGTGAGGAAAATATCAAATTCAAACTCAAAGGAGGTATGCACGTTTTTTCCTTTCTCCTGTTTAGGAAATAAATGTTAGAAAACCCGAATATTTTTTTTGAACTTCCCTCTCCTTCCAAAAAATTAATCCACTTAGATTACAAACATGCATACATACATATATATGTGTGTATATACAAATATCAATATATATATAAGATCTATAAATTAATCTCAATAAAATAAATAAGTATTCAGGACAAAAAATAATCATTAACAGTACATTTTAATATTCTAAACCATGAAATAAGCAGTTATAACATTTTAGTTCTTTATTTCAACATAAAATAGTTCTTTTCATCCTTCATTTTAGTTCTTTATTTCTAGTCAAAACAGTTTTTCATTTCAACTTATTATTTAATTCCAACAGTTATTTAACTGAACTCTCAATTAAATTCAGATCTTCTAATTACCTTCCAAATTATCTAAACCATATGTTACACATATCCAATGATATCTTTAATCAAATACATACACATGCACCTTTAAACATACCCAAGCTATATAAGGTAGCATATCACAAGGAAAAGGATTTAGGTAGAAAGTGTAAAATGAAAAAAATATGTTTACCTCATAGGGTTTTGAGATATTCATGGGGAAAGTAAAGAAACATTTGGATGGCTGGAAAGTTAAAAACTGCCATAATTTATCACTAAATTAATAAATTTTGTCCTTAAGGAGGAATACTAAAGAAGAAATTATAATAGCAAAAGAAATAAAATAATTTTAACAACAGCTTTTTTTTTAACTACAAAACTAAAAGGAGGTAAAATATTATATCCCAATACATAATTTGGAAATATTACTTTTGTGTTAGTGCTGCCTAGATGGTATAATGGGTAGGGAAGCATACTGTGGTACCAATGGGCCTAGTTTAAATTGTTGTCTGTCCCTTCATAGGAGGTAATGGTAAAAAAAAATGTATTGTTAAGAAGGAAAACTTCACAGCACCAGAAGTGGCTCCCTTCGAAGAAAAAGGGAAATGCACATGCATGCGTGAAATCTTTGTTGCCAAAAAGCACCTAAGTTCAAAGCTTATGTCAAAGTTCGAACAGGTTCAATGGTCAGGTTTATCAAGAGTTTAAAGCTGTATGACTCAATTTTCCCCCCTTCATATTGACGGATATAAAATCAGATATTAAACTGAGATATGGATAATGCAAGTTCAATAGCCATTGAAAGTAAAACTTCACTTGATTTTCTTATTCATCTTAACCCGTGTTCCTCAATTTACTGTACACTTTGAGAAGGAGGAAAATCTTGGCCAGGTCCGGTACACCACAGAGGGGGGAATTCTCGCCAACAGGTTCTGTTGCCAAATCCCTTGGCGAATTTTCTCTCTGCTTTCTAGTGGCGTAAAAGACAAATTGGTTTACATTACGTCTATGAAGCCTTTTCTTCTTTACATAGATGTTCTTTGGAAATGGTGGCTGACAAATTAGGTGCATCCACAATAAAACCTAAGTCAGCTAAGTGCCCGCAAATGGGGAAAAAACAACTTTTGCATTAGTTTTTACTATACCACCTTAAAAGTAGTATTTTTAAGATTAAGGAAAAAAATAAAAAATATTTTATTAGAAATCCAAAATATTTTGTATGCCTAAGCATTTTTAAGACTATCAATATATGGACAATAATTAATTATACAGCTAAAACATTTGCTGCATTATTATAACCATCATAAAAATTGCTACCTGATTAATACCATTTACTATTTCTTCATTTTAATAAATAATGCTAAAAATTCAGCAAATATATAGCATATACTACTCTATCCTCCCTAAAAAGGACTAACTGAGAAAAAAAAAATATTTGCAAATCTTTTATTTTATAAACATGAAATTTTCCTTTAATATTACATATTTAAAAACAAACTCTGGTCTCAGTTGCACATGATAATTAAATCAACAAAATTGCTTTAAAACAGGCTAAAATAATTGTTTTCATTTTTTTAACAGAGATCTTAGCTTCAGAAACATATTATCTTCTGGACATTATTGGCATACTACTCTTTTATATTCATCTTCAAATGCTTCAGTCAAGTAATGTGTCACACATATATGTATATTATGATTGTAATTTCAACGTCATATAAAAATTACAGATGCCAATTTATAAAAAATACCTTTAGGTAACAGGAAATATTCATTAAAAGAAGGAGTTGCAAAATTCTAAGAACCATACTTTTTTTTTTAATACATACAAGATTTCTAGTTTAGCAGCGGACATGCATTAGTAATCGAATGCTTAACAACAAAAAATAAACTAACATGTCACTCAAGGTAAGATATTACTATAAAAATCCATATAATTGATTTATTTATTTCTTAAAAAGTTATAATTTTTTTATGACCATATGAAATGTTTATGCCCCCCAAAAAGTAATTCTTTTCTAATGGAGAAAAATTTGGATTAAAAAAAAAAAAAAAAGAAAGAGAGGAGAATATCTGTTCTCCCCCCCAAAGAAAAAAAAAAAATTATAAGAAATACAAGATTGGTTACATATATACACACACACTGAACTCAATTGTTTTCGCAGTGATATAGAACAAAAATGTTATCTTGGAGTAAGAAATTAGGTCAATGTTTAACATATGAAATTACATTAGTACCAACAATATTTTATAACACAAAATGCACAGCAAAAGTTATAAAACACAGTACATCAAAACAATATGTTGCAATTAATACATACTATCAACACTGCATAAGACTAACATATTGCACAGTTAGTACAAACTAGCATCTCAAAACTACCACTCACAGTTTTTTAGTTACAAAACTCCAATTTTTAAGGCATTGTTACCTTTCAACAATACAATCAAACATATATTTAATCTTAACAAAAATCATAAACTTGTAACATACACATGAAGTACATTTATTATATCATATTCATTTCTTTGTACTGAGCAAACACAGCAATCTGAAAAAATAAATAAATAAAATAAAAACAAATGCACTTTAAATTGGCTGAGCTTTAAATAATATTAATGTGAATGCACAAGCTAACAAAAAACACTACAAAGCTCTGTTTTTACTAAACAAAGAATGTAGGGTTAAAAAAAAATTACTTTATCTTTCAGCTGTTGACACAACTGCAATGATACAGTGAACAGAACTAAAACTTCACTTAGCCAAGGAACAGATGACTCAGCCTAAGAAATAAAAGAATGTTTTAAAATTTATCTGATAGTTCATTATTATTATGGCCTCTTATTATCAATAAATTACTAGCATATTTCACAAACTGTCACCAAATGGCCAGTAATCTTTACCATCTCTTTCATTCCTTGGTAAATCAAAAACTTTTACTATATTTTTTTTTGGGGGGGGAGAAAAAGGGACATTAAATATGACAGAAATGCAATAATAACATGTAGCAACTTAGGTGTCCTCTTACACCAGGTGGATTTAAACTGGCCGCAATCAGGACTGTCGGTCGTTTGACAACATTTTGTGACATATGTTTGCAATTTATCAATAACTTTTGTGCAATTCAGTAATGAGGGCTGTAATAATAATAAAAAAAAAAGTATCATTTACTTGTATTATCATTGTAGGGTATTTAAAAATTTTTTAAAAATGAAACTATTAGAAATTCAGTTAGCTAAAAGTCAGCTTCATAAAGAAATAATTTAAACTTATCAGCTATTTACGCCACAAGGCTAACAACTTTAATCTAGAGAAAAATACTTTGAAAACACTATTAAAAAAATTAGGTATTGCCCATTCCATTTATTAGTTACATGAGACATCACACACTCCGAAAATTTTACCAAATTTAAAAAATAATAAACTATGCTAAAATATTACAAACATTAAATTACTGTATATTCTTTTATGACCATTAAACTTGTTTTCATGTAGATAAGTTCCAAACTTACAAATGAAATTACATCTGATAATTTATAAAACGAAAGCACATATTAAAAACTGAAATATGATGACCATTTCCTTTAGATAGAGAGAAAGCCCCACCCTTTTTTTTAAAGCAAGGGAGGAAGATGAAAAACTAATTAAAAAAAAAAAAAAAAAAAAAAAAAAACTGAATTTTTTTTAATTAACATTTTTTTGTTGCAACTCACAGAATCTGATTAAATAGTTTTTCTATGATTTTAAACACCCCTAACCAAATTCTCCTCTTCCTGGAAATAATAAATAAATAAATAAATAAATAAAAATAAAAAAAATAAAAGAACACAACAAAAAAAATAAATAAAATAAAAGAAGAAGAAGAGAGTAAAATTTCCGAAATTTAACCTACTAATGCATTTTCATTATCAGAATGTTACTGCTTGTAAAGAATTGAAAATACCTTACAAAAGCAAATATAAGGATTCCTGTTGATTTTGCCAAGAGCAGTGCTTCTTAATCTTTTTGATAAGTGGAACCCACTTTAATGTCCACTTTTATTGTAGAATCCCTAGTTTGCTTCAATATTATGGTTTTAATGTAATATTCTGTAAACAGATTATTTCTAGCAAGAATGGCAATTACTTCAAATAATATTTATTTGTTTCAAAACATAATTTCAAAATTAACCCAAAAGTTCTTAAAATACTGTATTCAAACAAGACTTTTAAATTTTAATGAGATGAGTAGTACTGCTTTTTATTATCGGAAATGTACTTAATATTAGGTTTTATGGGTGAAAGTCGAATTCTCTTGTCAGGTTCAGAATCAAGTTTATTGCAATACGGTAAAAGTCCAGAAATCTGCAAAGCTTGGGAGCAGAGGTTGTGCGGATTTCAGGACAGAAAAGATAAATCGTAATATTCGCACTAAAAGTGCAAAATAAATAAGCCGTATTATTACATTTATAATTTATATACATTATTGTAAAAATTTATCACATGCATTAAATTATTATTACATATATAAATTGATTATATTATATGTACAAGACAGCATCGAAGGTTTGTTGATTTCGCCTCATGCAAAGATTTCCGGTTTCGGATTCCGAGTGTCAGAATCACTGTTGCTGTAAAATTTCAACAGCTTTTCTTTATTTTCTCGTATATCATACACAATTCGTGTTGCACATTCCATACGATTCCTGCTATAAACCGACGAGTAGCACCTGCCTCCATCTTTTGCAGAATTTCCACTTTTGCATTACCGTCAATGCAACGTGTTTACGTTCTTCAATGTTGCAAGTAGTAAAATCATGAGTATGTTTCTTATCTGTCCATTTTATTAAAAAAGGGCCTGAAATTTAAAATATTCTTAATTTATCCACAAAAACATCCAGGATTAAAAAAAAGTGGCAGCACTAAACAATCTCATGAAATAACAAAGCTCAGAAAATAGACAAACATGAATCATGAACTTGAAAGAAGAGTTGAGTGAATTGTCTGCTTTTTTACCTTGATGCAGATTGGAGGGGGAAAAAATACTTTTATCATGATGTCAATAATTTGGAATTTCCGTAATGACTTATTATTATTCGCTAATTATGACGTCATTATTTGTTAAGTATTTTTTCTTCGATATTTCGTACTCCATTTGCAGTTTCCTGAAGCTATAAACTGAATGTTTATATTTTGAGAGGCAACGCAGATTTTAAGAGTTGGCGGATTTCAGGTAAGCGAATTTTTGGTATTTGACTGTATTTACTTTTTGTTGACACACACAGCTGAGAACACTTTTTCACATAGTTGCAAATGGTTAAAGTGCCCAGATGGCCTTTTTGACAAGTTAGGATACTCCTGTTTTAAACTGCATCAGAATTAAATTAATTTAAATTTTTCTAAATGTTGAATCAGATTCATTTAAATAAAATTTCCATCATCCTTCTGCTAATATGGTCGAAAGTCATGCATTGACAAAAGATGGGTTTTTAACCCACAGTCTACTAGGAAAACAGCAATTGAAAACTTCACTTAAACCTTTCAGGTGCTGAATAATTTCTTTACCGCTCTTGCTCAGCTCAGAGTCCACCAGTCTGTCTTATACTCACTCCTGTTAACCCATTCTTTCCTCCCCAGTCTTTTTTACTTTATTATTAAGCATTCTTTGTACTTATGCCATATACAGTTCAACAACAAAATTTTTAAATGCAGCATAGCAGCATATGTTTAGAATTCCTAACGCATTGATAAGTGTTGGCATACATTTTTATATTTTCTTCATTCTTTTGTCAATTCACCATATCAGTAAGATGGCTTACAAAAAAATTTTTTTTGGCTTTAATTAATTAAGTAATTACTAACTTTTTAAGTGTTAGCTTTGTTTATTCAATGTCCTTGTACTTATGCCACATAAAATTCAATACTTTATCACAAAAAAATTAAAAAAGTCATATCTTTAGAATTCCTGATAAACAGTCTCCTGTGCTGGAGATAAAAATGTTTTATTCTGTACAGTGTTCCCACTGCTTGCTTTCCCATCATTGGGTTTGTTAATCCAAAATTTATTAAAGTTTTATAAAATATGAAATAAATAATAGAAGAAATTTGGAAATTCTAAATTTGGGCTTCCAAGTGCATATGTTCAGTTGGAAAACTATGTTATTCAATATTTGATAGCTCTAAATGCCAATATTCTTTCACAATGTGAGGAACATACAGATTCTTCATTATGTAATTTCTTTAAAAATAATACAGGGCCATAATATTCAGTTGCAACAATTTGAAAAGTGATATGCCATTTATAGTGAGCCAATGCAAAATCCCATTTTGAGATTCACAGCCATTTTTTGAGTATATATATATATAATATATATATAATAAAGAAAAAGGGAGAGCAAGAAAGAAGATACCAAGAAGACATAAAAACTAGATTACTTTTTTAAATTTGCTGTCAGAAAACATGCATCATTTCTAAATTAACAGCATATAGTGCTTTTGGAAATGAGTAAAGAATAACAACTGAAGATAAAATAACCATTAAATAAGATATAATATCATGATAATCATAGATATAATTAAGAACATATTATATAGATATATTTAATACAAAAATTATCAAGTAGACCAAAGGCACTAAAATTTTACCAACCTGAAAGACATCAAATTTAAGTGGTCCCTGAGCTTCTTTGGATAAAATATGATATACATCAAATACTAGTTTATGAGACTGCACATAAAAACTTATAGCTAAGTCTCCTGGCAGTGGAGGTTGAAGAGATTTCTGAAATATATATAATGAATAGTATAACTCAGTAATTTGCTACACAACACTGTTACTGTTTTATTATCAACTTTCTTGTTTCATACGTATATTATACTTAAAAAAATATAGCATTTTGTCTTAATTTTCTTGATGAATTTCCAAAGGCATGAGCTAACTATTACAAATAAAGGTACTCCCTTTAAGGTCCTCTATAACTGTATGAGGTTACAGAAAAACCGCTATGCTGAAAAAGTGTTTTCTTTGCAAACAGGCAATTAATTATTTGTTAAGAATAACGTATAAGATAAAAAAAAAAAAAAAAAAAAAAAGAAATTGCTACAACTTGTTATTTAAGAAAATTTTAAAGCAATCATATCTTCTCGACAGTTTTTGGAAGGAAAAAAATATATAAAATAACATAAGTATTAAAAGAACTATAAACACAGAACTGCAGATAAAAGCAAATCATTAAATGGAGGTCTTAGTACCAAATAAGTAAGTTTTGCATGTTTTAAAATGAAACTTCTTGAATAAAGAATAATCCTTAAATAACTAGCTCTATATTTACAGTTTTTTAAGTATATTTATTTTCAAAGCAACAAAAAATATAACACAAAATTTCGAAAATTATTTCACTTACATCCTGTTTCCTGCACAATAACTTTTGAAAGATATATACTACAATTTAAAATTTTATGTCAAATTAAAGCTAAATGTTATGTTTATTCTGTGAACAAAAAACAACTTTAAAGTTCTCTCTCAATTTAGTATTCAATTAAAATTAACAAATACAGAAAAGTTGAAACTTATAAAATACTGTGTATGTACAATGTTGCATTTTAAAATCTGTGACACACATTCACATAATTGTGGTTCACAGATTAAATATTCATAGGTATAACACACATGTTAAATTTTGTAACTCATTAATTTATTCTTGCACGTAAGCATGAAAATTGAAAGCTGATAAAATCAATTTTAAAGATTAAATTTTTATTAACTACAATGAAATGCAAGCATTTAACCACTTGCGCTACGACTAAACTTCACAGTTGCGGTGCTGTGCGCTACAATATAACAAGCAGTAAAGTGTCTCATTTACGCCGTTCCTCGGCTGCGAGTGCAATCCAGAGCTTAACTCAAGAAATAAACAATTTCGTTGTTAGACAACATGTGCACCATGTTATTTTCATTTTTGCACGCAGTTTGAGACAAAAGCATCTCGACATGCGTGGCACGTCTTTTTAGCGCAAGTGGTTAAAATGCATCTGTTTCATATGCAAAGCATTAAAGATTTAAAAAATGCTCAGGCAACACTTTTTTGGTACTGTTCTGTTATAAGGAACCAATAAAGAAATGTATGTATGCATGTACGTATGGATGTATGTGTGTGAATGTATGCATATATATATGTGTGTGTGTAAGTATGAATGCATATGTGCATATACATGTAAGAAAAATAAAGAATATGTAAAAAATTAAATTAGCAGCGTAAATTTTCCTTCTCTATTCTAAAAATAGTAACCTCTTTCTGTACTGCGTCATTTCTAGATTAATCCATGCCATATGACTTTTACATAATTCTGATGGTGTAAATGGAACTAAAACTCAAGCAGCCAATAATAATTTTACTGAAATATTAACTATTCAATAAAAATGTATTGAGAACCAAAACTAACTCAGTCTGAAATAAGATTTCACCCTGAACATAGCACACTTGCTTTTAATGCTTTCGCCTAGCTGGACTGCTGTCTGCCTGTTCCTTCTATCTTACTGAAAATTTATCTAAAATGAAATAGTGCCTTTTGGAATAGGCACACTTAATGTGCCAACTTGTTTGTGGCCGCAACATGTTTGCTGAAATAAAAGATGAAGATTTAATCTGCCTTCACCTCCAATTCCCTATTCATTATGGATCAACACTTCTGCACCCTCAAAATTCTGCTCATCATTACTTCTAAGTCTATTTTTATTACATATACACATGTATGCACACACATATATACAAACATGTGTCTATTTCTGATTTCTGTCCTTAAAACAGAACAGTACCCTTTTCTCCCGATCTATGGGCCTCTAGTGTTAAAGACTTTGATTTAACACCTGCTCCTTTTTATATGTGTATAATCATATTATAAAGCAGAAGTAATACAGAAATGTCCAATCTCAAAAACCAAGACATTTCATTATGCTCATTAAACCAGCCATTCCTTCAATAAAAATCATCACTGTCTCATTTACTGTTATATCAGCTATAATTTTAGAAGAACAAGAAGTTTAGGGGGCAGTATTTCTACATGGCTGAGTTAAGACTCAATTGCACGACTCATTCCACGAAGACATTTTTTTAATAATTCACATAACAAAAACTCAGCTAAAATATGCTTAATTTCATCCTTCAGAAATTAGCTTAATATTTTCACGCTTAAATGAAATACTATGCTCTGCTTTCTTGTACTGGCATTATTCAGTACACTGAATTAGGGATACACATGGCTATTCAAACTGTGTAGCACTGCATCAGATTTACGTTCACACGAGGTCATTGTGGTAACTGCATATATAGCTAGTAGCCACTTAAATTGCCGGTATGAACAAAACTACTGATTTAGACACCTTTTATCGCGGACAGATAGTAGACGCTCGATGCATGGGCCATTTAATTTCAAAATTGTCACAGAGCTAGGAGTTTTAAGGTCGAAAGTGTCAGGCATATACCGAGAATACATGGATGGTGAGGGAAAAAAACTAGCAATGGGGCAAATTGTAAAGGACAATTACCTTGAATGAACATGGTGTGAGATGGCTTAGTCATATTGTTCATAGTCAGCGAAGCCAAACATTAGCTCAAATTACAACCCAGCTGAACCAAAGCGCCAGTGTATAGTCAATAAACGGACTGTGCAACGACAGCTTCACCATATGGGCTTTGGGAGGCATAGACCAACGAGAGTACCATTGCTCTGTGCATGCCATCGAGCTGC